ACAGACTATTTTTATAACCCTTAAAAAATATTCTTAATTTGCAAATAGCACCAAAAAACACAAAATTAATACTAAACTAACATTAAGAACTTGTGTTCATCAATAGACACCATAAAGATAAGCTAGTGTGTGAGTAATGTTTGCAATATAATTGACAAGAGTAGTTAGTAACCAGGATGTGTAAAGTACAAATCAATAAGAACAGAGCCAGCAACCCAACAGAAAAATTGAAAACAGGTTTGAACAAGCACGTTGCTGAAAGGAAAGCTAAAGAGCCAATGAACATAAAAATGTGCTTAACCTCATAATCAGGGAAATAGAAATTAAAACCAGAGTGATACGAATATGCGAGCTTAAGTTAGTTACACACACACACCCCTGACCATTTCAATTACTGGCAAGAATGTAGGGTAAGTCGTGTTGCAGGTGGAAGCATAAATTATATCCAGTTTGGGGAAAACCACTTTGGAAAGGAATTTGGTATTATTCAGTAAGTAGAAGACACACACCCAACAATTTCACTACAGCAGAAGTCAGCTAACTTTTCCTCTAAAGCAGGGGTCCTCAAACTACGGCCTGCGGGCCACATGCAAATACAAATATTGTATTTGTTCCCGTTTTGTTTTTTTACTTCAAAATAAGATATGTGCAGTGTGCATAGGAATTTGTTGACAGTTTTTTTTTAACTATAGTGCGGCCCTCCCACGGTCTGAGGGACAGTGAACTGGCCCCCTGTTTAAAAAGTTTGAGGACCCCTGCTCTAAAGGGCCAAATAGAATTCTAGGTTTGCGGTCACCTATAGATAGTCTTTGTTGAATACTTTTTAAAAATGTAAGAAATCATTCTTAGCTGTCTGGCTGTACAGACACTATAGGCCTCATCTGGCCCCCAGGCCAGTAGCTTGATCCCTGCACTAGCTGGGGTGCGTGTCAGAGCAGGCAACCGTGAATGATCCCGTTTCCCTGAATATTCGGCCATCGCTCCTCACCCAGGACGGCTCTGAGACAGGCAATGAGGCAAGTAGGGCCTCGCAAGGCACCCTTATGCATTGGCAGTAAGCCCGGGGTTAAATTCAAGTGCAGGTTTTTGTTTTGTTTTCCTCCTGGCTTGCTTTAAACACAAGGTCTTTTCTTCTAAGGTGGAAAATGAGACGGCAGGCGCCTCAGGGCCGACTCCTCTCCTCCCCTTCCGTCCCGTCCCGGGATCTCACTCCCGCTGTGCTTCTGATCCCCAGGCACCTCCTGCACTTCCCCCCGGGACGCAGTACCTTGTGCTCTCCCTACAGCCCTCGGCGCTGGCTCGGGCCTTCCTCGGCCCTACGGCTCACCGCAACCTTCACCCTGCTCGCGCGGGCGCAGCCATCTTTGGCCGACACGTGACTCGAGGGGGCGGGACCTCGGCCGCTGATTGGGCTCCGGGACGCCGGCCGCAGGCTTAGCGACTTCCTGCCCAGGGCGGGCTCCCAGCGAGCGAGGTGCCCGGCGTGTGAGCGGTGAGACTCTGACCAACGTGGGGAGTATCTGTCCACCTTCCCCTGCCTCCGAGGGCAGAGCCTGTAGACCGGGAAAGTCCCAGAGGAAAGTCGAGTGGCCCTAAAGCTGCCCTTTTCACCGATCGCCTATCCTGGGCACGTTACTTAACTTCCAGACCGATAGACCATATCTCCTGATGTGGACATGGGGTATCAGAAAACAGCACAGCCCTTGGCATACGCTGGGTGCTATGTTCAAAAGGTATTAAAAAGGAGCTGAGCCCTAGCTGGTTTTGCTCAGTGGGTAGAGCATGGGCCTGAGAATTGAAGGGTCCCGGGTTCGTTTCCGGCTAAGGGCACATGCCCAGGTTGCTGGCTTGATCCCCAGTGGGGGGCATGCAGGAGGCAGCCCATCAGTGATTCTCTTTCATCGTTGATGTTTTTCTCTCCCGCTCCCTTCCTCTCTGAAATAATAATAATAGTAAAAAGGAGCTGAGATTTCTTTGCACCCTCGATCTTCTTTGCCCTTGGAGCTCCCTGTGCCACGTTGCAATCTGGTTGTCTGTCCCACCTCAAGATAATCAGCACCTCCAGAGAAGGAGCTTGTTTTCTGAGGATTTCTCGGTGCCTTGCCTCGTACTGCTGATAAAAGCAGGAGTGGGTGAATGTGGCTAAGGAAAAACTGGAGAGCGAGGGAGCCCGGGGGCTCCACTACTCAGGACAATTGAGAATGAAAGTCTTGGGCCACGCCTCTGAATAGTCCCAGTTCTCATCCTAGCAGCCTCTCTCTCATCTATAAAACAGGGGAAATAACATTTTCTCTGATTATTTTGTGAATACGTGCGCGTTCAATGGAAGTGCTTGCCAGGGTTGCTTTGAAAATAATTGAGCTCTAGCAAAGGAGAAAGTGGTATTCCAGATAAAGAACAACTTCATAAGGCGAGGGGAGCAGGGTGAGAAGAGTCCCCAAAACTCCGTGGCGAAGAAGGATTTATCAGATGTCAAATATTCTCTAGGCAATGAATCAGAAAATAAAAACATCTTTATTTTTTTAATATATATTTTTATTGATTTCAGAGAGGGAGAGAGATAAACATCAGTGATGAGAGAGAATCATTGGTTGGCTGCTTCCTGCACACCCCCTACTAGGGATGGAGTCCACAACCTGGGCATGCCCTGACAGGGAATCCAACTTAACCTCCGACCTAGGTTAAGTTTATTCCTAAAGTACTCTATCCTTTTTAATGCTATAGTAAATGGGATTGTTTTCTTAATTTCCCTTTTGGGTTTGTCGTTGTTAGTGCAGTGAAACATAATTTTTGTGTGTTGATTTTGTATTCTGCAACTTTGATGAAATTGTTTTTAGGTGTAAGTTTTTTTCTGGAAATTTTTTTTCTATATATAAGATGATGTGATTTGTGAGCAGGGATAATTTTACTTTTTTTCCAATTTCTTGTCTGATAACTTTTGCTAGAATTCTCAGTGCCGTGTAGAATAGTATTGGCAAGAGTGGTTATTGCCTTGTTCATCATAGAGGATAAGCTTTCATTCTTCCACCATTGAGTACAGTATTAGCTGTGGGCTTTTCATGAGGCTTATATTCTGTGGTGTAGTTTCTTTTTATTCCTAGTTTGTTGAGTATCTATTATCATAAAACAGCATTGAGTTTTTCTGCATTGATTGCCATACTCATGCTGTCCTTGATTATGTTAATGTGGTGTATGACATTGATTATTTTTGCGTATTGAATTATTCTTGCATTCCAAGTATAAATCCCTCTTGGTCATGGTGTGTGATCCTCTTAATGTGCTGTTGAATTCAGTTTGCAATTTGTGCATGGGTGGGGTCCCTTGGGGTGGCCTGCGGGGATCGGGCCAAAACCCACAGTCCAACGCCACCTGCAGCTCCAACCTGCCACTTCCGCTCATCCAGGCCCCACTGCGCCTGCTGCAGGCTCATGCCCAATCAGTCCCAATCAGGAGAGGCTCATGCCGCTGCAGCAGTGCTCACCAGCCATGAGCCCTGTGTCTAGCGCCCTCCTGAGAGGAGTGGCCTGTGGGATCTGGCCAAAACTGGCTCTCTGACATCCCCTCAGGGGTCCCGGATTGTGAGAGGGCGCAGGCCAGGCCAAGGGACCCCACTGGTGCACGATCAGGGCCGGGGAGGGACTGGGACTTGGTAGGTTGGCCAGCCGGGGAGGGACCACAGGAAGGTTCGAGGGCGTGTCTGGCCCATCTTGCTCAGTCCTTATCGACAGGACCCCAGCAGCAAGCTAACCTACCAGTCCAAGCGTCTGCCCCCTGGTGGTCAGTGCACATCATAGTGAGTGGTTGATCAGCCTTAGCATATCATTAGCATATACGCTTTGATTGGTTGAACGGTCGACTGGTCACCAGACAACTGGACACTTAGCATATTAGGCTTTTATTATATAGGATTAATCAAGAACATTAATTAATATTTCTTTTCTTATGTCTTTATTTGGTTTTGGTATCAGTAATGTTGGCCTCATAGGATTGTGTTCCCTCTTCAATTTTTTTTCCCCTCTTCAATTCCTAAGAAGAGTTTAGAGAGAATTGGTGTTCATTCTTCTGGTCCTGGGCTTTTCTTTGTTGGGAGTGTTTTAATTACTGCTTCAATCTCCTTGCTAATTATATGTCTGTTCAAATTTATTTCTTCATGATTCAGTCTCGGTGGGTTACATGTTTCTAGGAATTGGCTCATTTCTTCCAGGTTATCTAGTTTGTTGGCATATAATTGTTCATAGAGTCTCTTATATTCCTTTTTATTTCTGTGACATCAGTTGTAAACTCCCTGCTTTCAGTTCTCGTTTTATTTATTTGAGTCTTCTTTCTTATTTAGTCTAGCTAGAGGTTTGTCAAATTTGTAAATCTGCTTAAAAAAAAAAACCAACTAAGAGTTCTATTTATTTTTTACATTATTTTCTATTTCAATCATTTCTGCTCTAATCTTTATTATGTCTTTCTGTCTGCTAACTTAGGGTTTAGTTTGTTCTTTAGTTCCTTGAGGTGTAGGTTTAGATTTTTTAGTTGCGATCCTTCTTTTTTAATGTGTTTATCGCTACAAACTTCTTAGTACTGCTGTCATAAGTTTTGATGTTGTACTTTTATTTTTGTTTGTTTCCAGATATTTTCTAAGTTCCCTTAGATTTTTTTGACCTATTGGTTGTTTGAGAATGCATTGTTTCCTTGACATTGGTCTTAACAATGATTTTTTAGATCTGACACAAAAAGCCAAGGCAACAAAAGCAAAAATAAACAAGTGGGACTACATCTAACTGAAAAGTTCTTCCAGGGAGATACCGCGACTCGGAGCAGGCTGGAGGAAGTGGGTGAGGGGTGTCCGCAGGCTTCCCTGCTCTCTGGGGCAGATTGCAGTTAGCCCCTAGGTCCGTGATGGCGAACCTTTTGAGCTCGGCGTGTCAGCATTTTGAAAAACCCTAACTTAACTCTGGTGCCGTGTCACATATAGAAATTTTTTGATATTTGCAACCATAGTAAAACAAAGACTTATATTTTTGATAGTTATTTTATATATTTAAATGCCATTTAACAAAGAAAAATCAACCAAAAAAATAAGTTTGCGTGTCACCTCTGACACGCGTGTCATAGGTTTGCCATCACTGCCCTAGATGTTTGCTATGTTAGAAACCTGATCAGGCAGTATCTTTTAAAATATGTGAATAGGTCCCTTTTAGAGAAATATTAGGAAATTATTTTATTTTTTTTCCTGCTCCCTCTTTGCTGAGCCCTGGGGATATGACTGGAATAAGAACTGGTTCTTGCCTGGCTGTGGTGGCTCAATGGTTGAGCCTATGAACCAGGAGTCCATGGTTCGATTCAGTTCGATTCCCGGTCAGGGCACATGCCTGGGCCTCGTTTGTGGGCTTGAACCCCACTGGGAGGTGCGGGGGTGCCGGAGGCAGTCAGTCAATGATTCTCTGTCGTCATTGATGTTTCTTTCTCTCTCTCTCCCTCTCCTTTCCTCTCTGAAAAAAATAAAATTAAAATAAATAAAAGAACTGGTTCTTGTTTGCTATGGTCCTGTGGGACTCGTGAATGGAAGCTCATTGGTTACCAGAGCCAGATCTGGGGACATGTCCCTTGGGTGGCAGCACAAAAGCTGTTGTACAGATGTGTGTATTAGCTCCTTCCAGGGAGATACTGGTGACTTGGACAGGCCTCAGGAGAGAAGGTAGAAAGGTGTCTGCCAGCTTCCTTAGTCTCCAGGAAGACTTGCAGTTGGCTCCTAGTCGTGTTAAATTAGAATTCTGACCTTAGGCAGTATCCTTTAAACTGCAAAACTGGGAGATGGACATTTTTTGCCTGCTCCCTCTGCACTGGGGAGATACCTGCAGGGAATGTTTCTGCCCGTTAACAACTGCTTTTTTTGTTTGCTGTAGTCTTGTGAGTCTCATGGACAGCAAAACTGTTGGCTTTCAGAGCTAGGACTGCTCATGCTCTCACACCCTTGGTGTCTGTGTCCATTGGTTATGCTTATAGGCATACATACAAGCCCTTTGGTCGATCTCTCCCCTGTTATCCCCACCCTTCCTACCTTCCCTCTGAGGTTTGAGCATCTGGTTGATGCTTCTCTGTCTCTGGATGTTTTTGTTCATCAGTTTATGTTGTTCATTATATTCCACAAATGAGTGAGATCTTTTTTATCAGTTTCATTTTGAAGTTTATATTGCTGTTTCTTCAAGTTCACTAATCTTTTCTTTACCATGCCTAATCTTGGGGTGACTTTAGGGGGGCTATGTTACTTTAGTCAACCTGGTAGGGACTACTAAGATTCAATTATTTATATTTATTAATGTTAGTGTGACTGTCTTTGTAGGGATAGAATGATAAAAGTAGAAAAATATGGGTTATATATCTTTGGAGAAATGTTTTTTTAAAATATGTTTTTATTGGTTACAGAGAGAGGACCAGAGAAGGAGGAGGTATAGAAACATCAATGAGAGAGAATCATTGATCAGCTGACTCCTGCACACCCCCTACTGGGGACCAAGCCTGTAACCCAGGCTTGTGCCCTGACAGGGAATGGAATCGTGACCTCCTGGTTCATAGGTCTGCACTCAACCACTGAGCCACACCAGATGGACACCTTAGGAAGGTGAGTGAACAAATTCTATTAAGTTCAGCCACATCTGTAGAAAGCCATTTTTTCATTATATTACTGCTTAAACTTGGAAATTCAAATACTGGATAGTTTACAAGACAATACAGTTGTATAAAAGCTGGGGAAAAAATCAATATAATACACTGCAAGCTATGCAGGGTGATGGAATACGATGCAAAAGCAGGGGAAATCATATGGTTAACACAGTTGGAGGAAATGGGGGAAAAGACAAAAGAGAAAGGAAATTCTCATAGCAGGGACAACATCTTAGTCATCGTTATACACCCGTTAGGGAAAATAGACGACGTAAACACATTTATTGAGCACTTCCTATATACCAGGTATGGTTCCATATCCTTTAGTTTTTATAACCTCACTTCAAAGCAGTTATTAGTATGTTTTCAGAGGAAACATAGTCAGAAATTTAGGTAGCTTTCCCAATGTGTGGTATACAATGTGTTTCATACATCAGTTGTTGAATCAATATCATCTGAATAAATGAGTACATATTTATTCAAATGAAATATATCTTGTGAATTTTCTTTGTTGTGCTTCTTTATAATGTTTCTAGGAAAATACTAAACTCATAACTACAGGCTATGTATGCAGTAATAACAACAGTGACAATAATGGCTGCAACACATAGAGACTTCTTGTTTTATTTATGTATATGAACTAATTTTATCATGACTTAATACAAGCTTTATTCCTCATTTTACAGATGAGGGAACTTAGATGTAGAGAGGTGAAATAGCTTGATGGTAGTGAAGCTAGGATTTGAACCAGGCTGTATCTAACACCTCTTGCTGCTTTTCTTCATTGTGGTTCACTCAGATGAAGGTTTCCTTAATTTCTTCTTTCAGACCTATTACAACCACTTTGGCAAGAATTCCCAGCTTTTTCTATTGTAGAAAAGGCAAATTGAAATCATGGAGTGAAATACAAGTCTCTTCTGCTTTCATATGGCAGGGGAGATGAACATAAGTCAACCTTGCTTTTATGTCCCATGCTGGAAGATATGTACTATATACTGTACTGTCCCATTACAGTATATAAATGTACCGGAATTGCCTGCCTGAATAAGGGCAATACCTGTATCTAAAATTGAATAAAAAGCTGGCAGGGCCTGGGCACCAGTGAAGCCTTTCCTCTTGAGAAAGACTCTCCGCCTGGCCCCCTGTAATTTCCAAATTCATATTTCTTGTCTAGTCTCTTCATTTGTGCACGGCCCTTCTCCAGGTCCCGAACCCAAGCCATGCAGGACGCAGCTTTCACAGTCCCAGATTACTACGTAAGCATATGAGGAAATAAAACAATTTATAGAGCTACAATTCAAATGGTCAAAAGACAACAGAAAATTCACAAAAGAAAACCAACATGCCAATATCTTTATTTGAATATCAACTTTTGCTAGACTCATTTTTGTTTTTATCTTTTTACCTCAAGATTGGGAAACTTTAAAAAAGATTGATGTGGCTGAAACTGGAGAAGGGCAATAAGGATGTGAGGGGATGAGGGACAGTGAAAAGTTAGTGGGACTGATGGATTATAGGTTCCGGTGAGGCTGAAATAATGCTGGAGTTGTGGCCTGAGAATGAAATGAACTTGAAGGACAGGAGCTAGTGATAAAACTGGATTTTAAAATTGAGAATGTGAAGAATTTGAATTTATTGATAATGACAAGGTCTAGAGCAACATAGTACAAATGAAAATATAATGTGAATTATGTATGTAATTTGAAATTTCCTAGTAGGCACATTAAAAAAAACAAGTAAAATTAATTTTATTTAACCCAATATTACTAAGAGTAACCTTTCAACATGTAATCAATAGATTATTTATGAGATATTTTATATTTTTTTACATAGCAAATCTTTAAAACTTGATGTGTATTTTACACATTTCAATTTAGATTATTCACAATTCAAATACTGACTAGTGGCTACTGACTATTATTTCAGACAGGTCTAAAGTATGACCATGGGAATAAGTGGTAGAGAGACCAGGGTGCCGGAAGGATCACCTATGTGAATACTGGAATCATCAAGAATGTACTGCCACTGAAAAGAATGTGTTGGTATATGTAATGAGTTAGAAAGATCTCCAAGACATATGGTTAAGTGCAAATTTTCAGCATAATATGTATGGATAATCAAATTTATTTTAAAAATATGTAACAAAAGAAAACTGCAAGAGGCATGCTAACTTGATAGTGGTTACCCTGAGAATAGAGTAGAAATAGGATGAAGTAGGAGAGCAGGAGGACTTTTCAAGTCTTGTTCTATATAGCAAATATATATATACAGGGTGGGTTTATATATATATATAAATATATATTTATATATATATAAATATATATACAAAAGTAGGTTTATAGTTGCTCATATGGAAAATAATGCAATTAATAAATAATAATACAAGTATTCTCTGTGTTTGCATACTCACAACTGTAAACCCACTTTTGCCCCACCTTGTATATATATTTTTGAATCATTTGAGTATCTCACAATGAGAAAGTATTTATGTAGTCATATACTAATTTTTTAAGAGTTAAAATATGAATACTATTGATCTAGTTATCTATTTGACTTGATTCCCCCTGCGCCTCCTTCGCCCCACCCCCAATTACTTGCCCTTTCCTTAGAGTTTCAAGTATCATAAATTATTCTGAGAATACGAAGCTAGATGGCTAGTCTTTGTTTTTTCATTAGCAAAAGAGTACACGTATTTTACTTTGTTATATATGATGCCATAATCACCTGACTAAGACTTCCATTTCTGCTTTGGGTTGCTTGAAGCTTCAGATGATCAAATCTTTAATCTCACTATGAATATGGTTAAGACAAGGAGAATGGGCTGTGGGGTTCCATTCTGTATCTTTTCTTTTCATCGGACAGTGTTTATTCCTAAAGTAAGATAAATATGTAGCTCAGGAATGCTCTAGCAGACTTAAAGATGCATGCTTTGATTTCTTCCTTCAGATTTTAAACTTGTTGAGGGTAGGGACTGAATCTTTGTACCCCTGGTGCCTGTATAAATGCATAGCCAGTAGGCACTCAATATATGTTCTTTAAACAGCACAGTGAAAAGAATGTGTTAACTATAAGAAGCTAGCTGAATCAGAGTTTAGAGTGAAGGAATGGGCTGTATGCTATTTCTGTATTTTGCTTTCTTATGAACTTTCAACTTCTTAAAAATTTAGGTCAAATGTCACTTCTTCTCTATAGTTTTCCCTTCTGCCCAAATAGTTAAGATCCACATCCTCAATGTGCCCACAGAATTATGTGTATACCTCTCAAACTCTCTCATGCTGTGTGTTCATATGTTTAATTTATCTTCTAATTGTGAGTTCCTTCTGGATAAGGACCATTTCTTATTATATGTAACACAGTGCCTGCGAGGCAGTTGTTGCTCAATAAATGTTTGATGAATGACAGTATATAAATGTACAGATCAGAACTTGAAGCCTAAACCCATTTCCACATACAATGAGGAAGAAAGAAAAAACTTACATTTATTTATTGAGTTTCTGAATATTTATTCAGAACCTGCTATACACTAGGCAAAAGAACAGAAACAAATTGTCCAGAGTTACTTTGAACTCTTTCAGCAATACCTGAGTCCTCACCATAAAAAAATCCATTCACTTCTTGGTTAATCTTCATGTACAGTTTCCTCTAACGTACTCTGAAATACTGCATAATGTTGTATACCCTGGTATATTCCAAAGACTATCTGAAAGGCTAGAGGAATCAGCATTCCCTTTATATCTCTTTGACAAAGCATCAACCAGTGATGTAAAACCCTTCCTTTTGGTGGCAGTGGAACAGTATGGTACCTGAAAAGGAAAAATAGGTAAGTACTTCTGGATGCATATTCTATGAAAAATTTGATTTTTCCTACACTGATCATTTCTATTCTAGGTTTTTCATGTAGCTAGCAAAAAAGGTTAAAAGTTAGCTATCTAAAATGATTAAAATGTGTCCATGGCAGCTAAAGAATAAGGAGACTTTTCATATATATATATATATATATATATATATATATATTTTTTTTTTTTAAACAAGTAAGGAAGAGAAGGAATAGACAGACTTACTTTACTGCCAGACGTCCATTTTTAGAAAAAGCCAAACCAGTTGGATATAAAACACCGCATACTATGCCAACCAGTGAACTTCTCAGAGCACATTCTTCCACGCTTATATTACCTGGAAAACAAAAGTAAATTTGATCTCCCTTTAAAACTCAGGATAAACATTAAGAAAGTCGTGTGCCCTCAAAGAGTAGTTATCTGCACTGTCCTCAACCACAGTGAAATAGTAGGAATAATATTAGAAATTCAGCCTACGGCATACAACTGACTAAATGCACCATGTCTTAAAAGTGCTTTTATTACACTTTACATTAGGAAAGTTATCTCTTAGATATATGGTTGCTGCAGAAACAACTTTATATTAAAGAATTAAACTAGCTCACCAGACCTCTGGATTCTAGGTTAATACATTTTGTCTAGGTGTCAGACATATGCTAAGTGCTAGGGGTACAGTGTTGCATAAAAGAGACTCAATATCTAACCTTCAGGCTAGTCAATCAGGAAAGAAAGACATTTGACAAATACTTATAAATAATTTTAAGGGTGCACAATGCAGCTTTGAAGGTAACATGTATAGAGAATGTATCTAGAAACCTTGAGGGAATCAGAGAAGGTTTCCCTGGGGAAGAGAGATTTAAGCAGGGATCTAATGAACAGGGGTGAGAGGTTCCATCAATTACTAGATGTGAAACTTAAGGTAATGGGAGGAGGCAGGAAATAACATTAGAAGCCCATAATATACCAGATACTATGTTAGGCATTTAACATACACAATCTTAATTCTCACAATCCTGTGAGGTAAGTATTATTAGTCCTAATTCATAGATAAGACTCAACTGAGTCTCAGATTAAGTGACTTGCCCAATGTCACAAAATTCAAGGAGTTAGGATCTGAAATTGTGTGTAATCTGCCAAAGCTGCTTTTTTCTCAGTATATTATGCTGCTTCTTAGATTTGAACATGTCTCTGTTTTTGCTGCTTATCTGTAAGAAAGACTTGCCCTGTCTGATTAGGTCTGTTGTGGGACCTCCTGAAATAGGACAATATATGTGAAGGTACTTTGTAAGTGGTAAAGCAATACACAAATGTAAGGGGTTATTATTAGCAGTAGCAACAGTATATGTTAATGAGTAATTTTACTGAGACATGAACACATTATACTTTAATGAATTTAAATTTACCTGAATACAAAGCATCTGTAACAAGGAGCTTATACGTAACTAAGGTAGACAAAAATGGAAGTGTAGTCAATGATGCATATGTCTTCAAAGCATCATGTTTAACCTTGAAGCAGTGTCTGAAAAGGAAGTTTGCCAATATTCCAGAGAAACCAGCTGCTGTTCCAACGAGCAGTGTCCCACGTATATTTAAAGCACTAATGGAAAAACAATAATCAAGGTTAACATATTTTCCTAATGGAAATATCTTTTCTCGGGTAGTCATTTGTTATTACATATTTACTCAGCATCAAATATTTCTGAACACTTACTATATGAAATGTATTTTCTACATGCTGAGGATAGGGCAGTGAATAAAGAAAAAAATCCTACTCCTCATGGAACTTTCATTCTAATCAGAGGATATAATTCCCTTTCTGAGAATATTTACAGTGGTTCTAAAATGGAGCTCTTTTAAAGAGAGAATACATTTTGGCCACAAAGAAATATGAATATGTTCCGATGTAGCCAAATTTTATATGTAAATCCAAGAATACTGCTCTTAAGGTCATTTGAATAAAAAAGTTGCTTATATTTGGTTAGGCCTTCTAGAAAATAACTAGTTTTTAATTAGTCCAGATATATTTAAAGTAATTTGTCGAGGATTTCCAAAACTTCATCCAAAGAGATTTGCTAGATCTAGTTTTACTTATTCTGACCCATACCCAAATCCAGAAATGTATAAGGTATATGGTCAACATCTTTGATTTTATTTTGGAGCTCTAAAAATCTAAAAGTCAAAATGGTAATGTGAAACTATATGTACATCATAGAATCTATATTCCTGTTTGTTGAACTCAGCACTGTGATTAAGGTAATCAATTCTAAACTGAATTTAATTACAACTGATCAACAATGAAATATAAGTAGCTTCCAAATGGTATTCTCCTAATTAAAAAAGTTTTTTAAATCCTCATTTGAGGATATGTGTTGTTGTTTTTTTAAAATTGATTTTAAAGAGAGAGGAAGGGGGAAAGAGAAACATCAATCGATTGCCTTCTGTACGTGCCCAACCAGGGATCGAACTTGTAACCTGGGTATGTGCTCTGACTGGAAATCGAACCCACAATCTTTTGGTGTACAGGACGACTCTCCAATCGAGCCACACTGGCCAGGCTTTCCTAATTACTTTTAATTTTTAAATGTTTATTGCACAAATAACATTTCAATAACAATTTTGGCCATTTTTTAAGAAGCAAAAGTAATTATCCACAGTTCCAATATTCTAACAGACCACTATTTTCATCTACCCATGTTTTTCTCCATTTTTAAAAAAAATAAGTTTTTGGGTTTTTTTTTGTTTTATTGCTTAAAGTATTACAAAGGGTATTACATATGTCTCCTTTTCCCCCCCAATAAGTTTTCTTCATAACCAACTCAATAAAGTTAAGAGAATCTTAGATATTCAGAAACAACAGAAATACAGATCTGCAGAAAAAAGTAATTGATTTTCAGTCTGCGTGTGTCTCTTACTTTTCTTTTCTAAGATACTCAATTTTTTTTTCTATGATTTCAATGACCATTGGTCCGAGTTCTTTATCTCTTAGAGAGGGGCTGAGTTGACCACGTGTGTATGTTGCCATCTTGATGTCCTGGAAAACACAAAATTGGAGAACCATAATAGCTAATGATATTAATATTAAACCTTATAAATTCTACAGATTCCGATGAAAAAACATTTAGACTCTAGTAATGTGTCAAGTATTATCATCTGCTTTTTCCTACTTCGTTAATGATTCAATCAACATTTAGTGAACTCTTACTATCTGCTAGACAGTGGCTTTTTTGATTCACACAATAATTTTGAAAAGTTGGTAGGACAATAATCATCTCCAATTTTACAGATGAGAAAAATAAGGTTCAGAAAGGTTGACTTGCTTCAGGACATAGTATAGAAGGATAACTTACTGAAATATTTTTGTTTTCCTTATAGTTTTCCCAAAGGTAGCCAGGCCCTTTGCAGTTCTTGCTCTAGCTTTATCAGAGCTGGAAGAAAACAGTAGCTACTTCTTGACAACAATCTCTATCCTATGAAAGAGATTGAAAGCCTGCGCTCATTTTGGAGATAATGTTGAGTTTCCTGGAGAAATGGGAGAGAGCAGGGATTGCCTTGGAGAACAGTGAGAGAGAACTTCAGAAAGAGGGGCAGTGTTCCAGGCTAGGAAGAAACAGTGGATCACGGCTCCAGATGATATAAGTAATATGTCCAGCTTCTTAGTAGTACCCAGGGCGAAGCAGGGACTTGACTGGAAACTGCTGTGTGGCATACCAGGGAGCCAGGACCCATGGCACTGGGCTCTAGGGCCGGAAAGTTCCTGTGTCCAGGTGTGATGTATGAAGAGATGGCTGTCAATGTCAAGGGACCATGAGGGTTTGGCCAATAACATCTTAACAGAAACCAGTGGGAAAACAAAATAAAACAAAAAACTAGATTCTCAGAAAGGTTCCTTTCTGAATGTTGTGTTCTGGGTAAGACTCTCAGATCACCATGAAAATTTTAAATAAAAACATTTATTAAATCTTTTGCCACACAAGCATTATAAGACTCCAGGTTAGCCAATGAATAGATATTAAAAATCCATGGCCCTTCACAATTTATACCAACCTCCACATTAGCAACATTAAACTTAGCCAAGGGCACAGACTAAATCTCATATTTCAGGAGTACAGGGCAAGAGAATTAGAGTGGATTGAGTATAATAACACAGAAGATACTTAATAAGTCAGTGATTCTCAACATTTAGTGTGCACAAGAATCACATTGGAAATTTATTCCAAATGCAGTCTCTTGAGCTTCCTGAGATATGTGGATTCAGTGGGAGTAGAGTGAAGCCTAGAAATCTTCATTTTAGTAGCACCAGTGATTCTTTTCTGTAGTTAATCCTCACCTGAGGAGATTCTTCCATTGACTTTTAGAGAGAGTGGAAGGGAGGGGGAGAGACAGAGAGAAACACTGATGTGAGAGAGACATGTCGATTGGTTGCCTCCCACACATGCCCCAACCAGGGCTGGGGATGGAGCCTGAAACTGAGGTGCATGCCCTTGACCAGAATCGAACCTGGGACCTTTCAGTCCATGGGCCAAACCAGCTAGGGCCCAGTTATTCTTTTTATGTTGGTAGTCGATGGACACATGTTGAACATCACTGTAATATTTACTTACTGAACAACTGATATGCAGCAGTACTAAGCCTAACTAATGAAAGGCCAGGCCAATTCATCTCCGGTATCAGCATCCTGAAGATATGGGCTCCTTTGACCTTTGGTGTATGGTATTACACAATGATAATGGGCCAGTTTCCTTCCCTGCATCATTACAGACTGTACTCAGGTAGTTCTATTTTCTTTTAAAAAATATCTGGGGAGGACAGGGAAAAAATTACAAATTACAATTTCTCAGGGACTAGACTTAATCTTTTGCCTCCCTCTGACATCTAAATGGGAAATGGAAGAGAAGAGATAGTAATATCTGAGGGAGGTCTATAATGTTCTAGGAAGGCAGATGTCAGTAACATGATAATCAGGAACCTTGGATAAATTTATGTTTTGCTATCGTCTAACTCACTGAAATTCCTTACTCCCCAAAAGAAAACTTTCAGGCAATGACATGTATCATCCTTCTACCTTGTCTACATTCTTAGTATGTAGGGAACACAGACACCCAGGATTATAATCCTAAAAGACTCAAACAGTTCAGCAAATATTTGAGTGCCTAATCTTTGGAAGGCACTGTTATTAAAGCAAAAATAGATTGGTAACTTTCTGATAGACTTTTAACAAGTATTGAAATGTAACGATTTTGCTATAACCAACATTTTATATCAAAATTAGTCCAAGGCCACTCAATATACTAGAAAGTGTGAATTTATAAAGGTTTATAGTTTGCAAAGTATTTTATGGTTATGTAGTGCTTTTATTGTACTATGTTACCTGACCTTCAGTTTTATACCACATTCATTCCTCATTTGATAGCCCCTGAGATAATGAAGATGTAGTCATGTCCTCAGGAATCCACAACCCAGAGGGAGGTCAGGACAAACAGGCAGGTAATTTAAATGGAATGAATCCTATATAATAAAAGGCTAATATGCAAATTGACCAAAGGGCGGAACGACCAGTTGCTATGACACACACTGATCACCAGGGGGCAGATGCTCAACTCAGGAGCTGCCTTCTGGTGGTCAGTGCACTCCCACAGGGAGAACGCTGCTCAGCCAAAAGCCGGGCTCATGGCTGGTGAGCACAGCAGCGGTGGTGGAAGCCTCTCTCACCTCCACGCAGCCCTAAGGATGTCCAACTTGGGGCCACTCCCAGTCAGTTGGCTATCCCCCAAGGGCTCCCAGACTGCAAGAGGGTGCAGGCCGGGCTGAGGGGGCTCTCCCCCCCCTCCCCCAAGTGCACAAATTTCGTGCACCAGGCCTCTAGTGCAGCGGTTCTCAACCTGTGGGTCGTGACCCCTTTGGCGGTCGAACGACCCTTTCACAGGGGTTGCCTAAGACCATCCTGCATATCAGATATTTACAATTCATAACAGTAGCAGCATTACTGTTATGAAGTAGCAACGAAAATAATTTTATGGTTGGGTGACAGTGATGGCAAACCTGTGACACGCGAACTCATTTTTTTGTTTGATTTTCTTTGTTAAATAGCATTTAAACATATAAAATAAATATCAAAAATGTAAGTCTTTGTTTTACTATGGTTGCAAATATCAAAAAATTTCTATATGTGACACGGCACCAGAGTTAAGTTAGGGTTTTCCAAAATGCTGACACGCCGAGCTCAAAAGGTTCGCCATCACTGCGGCCTAGCATGTTGGTCACGTGGTTTGGACCCCCTGACCTCTCCTCCCTGTAGATAACATCTATGCTTGTTGTATTTCAGCTCCAGGCCCAGATCAGCTACAAAACCAGCCCAGGCTGAAGCTGGGACCAGCCGCATGGAATGACCCCCTATCCTGGTGCCGCCAATCGATCAGTGGAGTGCACAACCCTGAGAGGACACACCGGGAAGCCGCTGACTCTCCTATTGAGATCTTCTCCCGGGTCCGCCCCTCAACCCTCCACCCTTCAAACCCTCGGGACAGGGCCCGGCTGCTCTCCCTGCAGGAGCAGCAGAGCCTTTCCCTTCCCTTCAGCTTCCTCACGCCCACGCTGCCAGGGCCCTTCCTTTCCCTCCATAACTTGTTTCCTAAGCCCATTTCTCCCAGGAATTGCTTCCCTTACTTCTGTGATTTGCCAAATACATGTTCTTACAGTTTGGGTCTTGCTCTGAATTCTTTCCTAGCCAGAACCCAAGTCCCGAGGTTGTTGCACCCTGGTTTTGGTTTGACCTGACCCCAAGGGTCTAACACCCAGTGCGGCTGCCTATAACAAAATCGATCCAACAATACAGATGTAAGAGGAGGACTTGGCAGGGGCTGGGGTGGGAGGAGGAGGTGCTCGGAGTTACTGCAAGTTGAAGGCGAGGCCCGCGCAAAGGCTCAGGGGCAAGAGAAAACAAGCGGCAAGCGGTCAAGACTAGACTTGAGGTCTCCTACTTTCTCTCGGCCTCTTTCCAGGGCAACTGGGACGTCACTGAAAGACCCTTGCCCTTGGGAGCTGTTCTTAGATTTTCAAACCCTTTGTGCTTGCACCATTTCAGAAGGGCCCGCCAACACGGTGAGGCTGCAGAAACCATGGTCCCAACCACCCCGGGTCTCCGCCTACCTTGGGCATTTCCCCAGCGCCCACCGGCACCACACCTTTCCCTCGCGGGTCAGCCCCCGCCTCGCGCCCGGGCGCCGCCATCTTGGAGCTCACGTGACCGGCAGGTGGGCGGGGCCCCGGCGCCGGGGTGGGCGGTGTCGCCGGCTCACGCCTCTCTCTGGCGGTCCCGGCCCGCCCCGACCCAGTCAAAAGCCGCGCCCTCCATCCTGGCGGTGATTGGGCGCGGCGGCCCGAAATGACGGCTGCTCATTGGCTCCGAGGAGACCCGGCCGCTTGTAGGCCCGCCCCTCCTGCCAGCCCTGCATTTCCCAGCGCGGCTATTCGTCAGCCGCGCTCCCTCTCCCACCTGGAGGGGAACGTGGGGCGTGGCGAACACGGGGATGTCGCTGCGCGTTTTCCTCTCCTCTGGGCTCCTCAGCCGGGGCGAGCTGCCCGCCCCTCTCATTCCTGGAAGGAGCTCGCCCCTCTGGCCTGGACCATGTATTAAGGCTCCCGCTTCTCGGGCTCTTCCTCCCCTGAGCCCCCCACCGGCCGCCAGGGCATCTCCGACTGGCCTCCTCCCCTCGCCGCGGTCTGGCTCCTCTCCCCCGTCTCTAGTGCCCTCATATTCCATCCTCTCACTCCGCGCAGAAAGGGACCGGAGGGGCAGTTGCTCCCCACTTCCCGAGAAGCCCCCCTGGCCAGCCAGTGTTTGGGGCGGGGGGCGCAGCGAGGAGGCCTGGCGCCCTTTTGCTGCACGTTCTGTGCCCAGCAGTGTCTCCCAGACCAGCAACCCCCGACCCTCCAGGCTCCATGTCTTAGAGGAGCCAAATTCGAGAGTTATATAATTTCTAGTGCTGCTGTTCCTCCTGCCTGAGGAAACCCTCCATCGCGTGGAGGGTGCAGGACATCTCAGAGCTCCTCTTCTCTATCAGGACGGGGTGTGGGCAGGGGTGGCCCGCGGTGGCAGAGATTGCCTGTCTTTTCTGCAAAAGGAAGGTGGGTCGTTTGGAGAGAGATTGAGAGGAAGGGTGGAGGTGGAAGCCAAGCGGCCGAACTCTCTCTCCTGTAGGAAATCGCCAGCCCTGTGCACAGCTGGTGCTCACATGCCTAATACTACAGCGTCTCCGAAAACACCTTCGCGGGAAGGGCTGGCGGCTCTGGACCGGTCCCGGCGCTTTTCCTCGCTGGGCAGGCAGCTGCCTGGACGCGAAGAGATGGCACGATGTGAATGAATGACTCCAGGGTGAAGAGACCTGCTTCGCCAACTCATCCTGCATCAAGTGCCCCCCGAGTAGCACTGTCACTGTAACGCCTCCGTGCCAGGGGATTGCTTTCCTGCTTTTCAATCCTCTCGGCTAATACATGGGAGGATCAGAATCAGAGGGGGCATTAAGGATCAAGCCTGAGGGGCTCGGAGAGGACAGAAGGAAAAAAATGAAAGTGACAGCAAGCTGGATCCTGCCTTACTGAGGGGTGAGATCTGGAACTTGTGGTCCAGGGAACGGAAAGGGCCTTTCAGTCTGTGTTCTGCTCCGGAAAACGTTCAAACTCACCCACCTTTTTAGAGATCAGAGTCAAAGAGGTTTTCAAAAGTATTTGGGGGGGGGGGGGCAGCAGGGGGGGGGTATTTTAATTTTTCTCTAAAGAACGGAGGATCTTTATCATCAACCAGATCATCCTTGAATCCGATCATGTATTGAGCAGTGAAACTGCTTTGTAAATTTGGTTTGTGCCTTAATTGAGTTAGTCATTGAACTCCAAAAATGTTGCTGCCTGAAGAGGAGTTTTAATAACGTTTTTATGCTTACAATAATTTTCTCAGCTTTTTTTTTTTTAAAAAAAATACTATTTTATAAAAACTGAAGCTATATTTCTCTAAACTGTGTGGGCAGTTTCAAAATTTTAATTGTGGAAAAATACATTATTTTTTCTTTATCCAAAAGAGAAGACAGCCTGGACTTCAAAACCAAATAGGTGAAGTGGTTTGCAACAGTTACCTGACTCTTGGCCTCAATCCAGTTGGATAAAGTTGAGACCTGAAAAGAGAGCTTGAATCCTGTGGCAGTGGAAAGACCAAGAATGCCAGTCAAGAAGAAAGGTGGGCATTGAAGCTTCCTATGCAATATATATTTCTTGGTTCTGGTAGTTGTAATTTAAATTGTATTCCATTTGAAAGTAAGATTTGGCTTGGGCAAATGTTGATTACAATAACATCTTTTCTGTGGCACATCATTCAGTAATCTTATTTTGCTAAAGTGAAATGAAGTAGGACTGTAGTATTTAATTGCAGACATCGACGATTTCATAAATCAGGTGGTCTAAATCACCATAATCAGCATAGATTTGGGATCTACTTTAGTATTTTAAAGGTTAGTTTTAAACAATCTTTAAAAAAGAAACGTGTACAGTCGAGTTCTTTCTCATAGATTTAATATTTATCAAGTGAATTACATAGTGTAAAAAATAGCAAAGTTGTTTGTACTGAACAAAATTATGGATTTATTATTCATCTTTGGTTTAAAAATATATTTCATATTTGGGTTTACTTTAGTGTGAATCTTCACTTTTGTGCTAAAGTACAAGTTTGATAACTTGTGCTTTTCGAGATGTCTGCCTTATCCAATAGCATGATTGACAAGTTCCCCAAATGAAGCAAACACCTGAATCCCTACCTCTTATCCCTCCCTTAAATTGATCAAGATCAGTGGGTTCCTAAAGTCTAGTTTATTATAGCTCAGTCCTTGGGAGATTCATTTCAGCATAGCTTTGCTGTACGTTATCTTTCTTGCTAAGGGTCGTAGTGAAACCAGATATTTTTTTGAGATGGTGTGGAAGATCAGATCAACTACAAAGTTTTCTCAAGGGTTTTGAACCAAAATTTATGTGAACACCCTTGAACTCTATTATACTGGGCTAGCATAGATCTAAATGCTGACCAGTCGTGTGAGTTGCTACGATCGGGAACTAAAGTTTGGGGGTGAAGGTTAAAGTGAACCTGCCTGTGCACGGTGATTAATCCTCCTACCTGTCGAGTTGGAAGGTGCACTGAGGAAGCAGTGTGATGCTTTACCCAACCAGTATTTGTGGAGATGGACAATGATGTATAAAACCTTTGAAACACCTAGAAACATCCCTTTGTACGCTAGGATTTAAGAGTGGCATTGTTTCCTTCTCCCTCTCTTCCCCATAACATCACTGAGAGAAGTAAACTGTCTCCGAGATTTTGGAGCCACACCTGTCTGTACCTGACAATTGGCTTATCTGGAACCAAAATGGTTTCAGTAATGTAGCCAATAAAGGATATAGGTGCTTGACTTATTTAACTTGTAGTGTGTTTTTATTCTTTCTACCACTTACTGTTCTCCAGAGAGAAAAGATAACTGGGAAGGAGGAAGGGTAACTAATGTTCTAGCAGGGCGAATTTCAGGTTTCTAAACCCAGTGGGCTGAGCCTTTTAAGAGTTCTGAACTTTAAAGGAAGTTACAAGAATTGCTTGTACATGATTGAAAGTCATACTTAATGAGAAATAATTTAAATTTTATTTCCTTTTTTCCATCTTTCTTCCTTTTCCCTCTTTCCTTCTTCTCTCTTTCCTTCACCGCCCCCCCTTCCTTCATTAACAATGGATTGATTGTAATGGATCAGATTTTAAGGAATCAAGTTCTAGTTAGCAAAAACTATATATATTTGGGTTATACTAAAGTATATGCATTATTTAATTTACTTTGTGAACTGATCTAGTTAGAAAAATTTATCTTATTTTTAATCTCTTAAAACTATTAGTATTAAGTTATATTTTTTAATCTTATAAACAACTAGCCAACAAATTATGACATGTGCATTATATTTTTTTAATTGGCTAACCTTACTTTTGTACAATTTCTAAAATATGAGTAAAACAAATATTTTTAAAGTATAACCTGAATTTTTATTCTGTGGGGAGTACTGTCCTCTGTCATCTTGAATCATTTCTTTTCATTGTTACATCTGATGGATATGACAGGGGAGCTAGATTAATGTAATTTTAGCAATAACTATCTTCATTGAGCCAAGTGTTTACTCATTATTTAATATATTCTTATTAAAATAAGAAACTCTCATTTGGTGTCTATTTTATGTTATTGTAAAAGTAGAGAGGAGATTCTATGATTGGGAAGTGGGAATGGGTGTGTGACATCTGAGTCCATTTTTAGGCACTATTCTTGACTGTTCTTAGATAAGCTAAAATTGGTGTACCTCCAATCCCTGTATTCACTGCTTTTTTTTGCTTTATGACATTACTTCCTACCTCTACCACCCCACTCTCTTCATATTTTTATAGATCTAAGTTTTATCAACCTTTCATTTCTTTATTAAAGATTTTTTTCTCTGAGAGTTGCTTTTCATTCAGGATTCTCTTTTCTACAGTAATAACTTGATTTGTTCCCAACTGAACCTGTAGCACACTTTGACCTATTTTAATTTGTGAAAATTCAGGGCTAATCCAAGATCAGTTATATTAGCATTATCTGATATGATCATGGTAAAGTGCTATTTCAATGAAACTTCAATCTATTTTCAAGATGGGTTA